AAAAAAAATTTGATCCGTTCTGTTTTGTGTTTTTACTATCACCATTTTTAGTGGATAGTTTTTATGCCTTTTTTGTAGTTAGATTTTACTTTTTATCATTTTTATAATTACCTTTTTTTGCCTCAGTGGCTCATTAGATTCACATATGGTAGTAAAAATTACTGTATTACAGTAAAAATATCTGCAATACAGTGGATTTTAAATTTAATATAAAATCAATAAATTTGTCATATATAAATCAATTCTTTTTTATTTAATAAAAATCAAAGGCAGTATAACAAATACATACTTTATAATTAAAATATAAATATATATGTATAATTATTTTTACACCTTGTAGAGAGATACATAATTGTAATGAAAATAATGTCTGTAATTACTGAAAAACGTGATTGGAAAATCCACTTAATATTAAAGTGTCTTTGTTTTGCTGTATGTCATAATTTACATAAGTACAATAGTTATTCATTTCAATTTACTTTTATGGTGAAATATGACCCAGATATGACCTTGAGAGGCTTCTTGAGGCTTCTTGATTTTCTTCCAGTCACATTTAAAGCCCCATGAAATAATGCGATGAACACGACGATCAAATCCGTAACGCATTAAGTTTCTTAAAACAGCCTGAGCTCCGAATACAGCCTTCCCATGATCCTCTGCTCGTCTGATATCCACTTAAAGCCTAAAACCTTCAAGAAGTTCATGAGCAGCAGTTTGGGACTTTGTGACTGATGCGTTACACAAACTTTTAAGACTTTCCACTTTATCTTTTCAAGCTCCTCTGATGACAACTTTTTTGCAAGCCTGACAAACGCTGAGCCTCAGATGTGTTTGCTATATTGGGAAGCGTCTGCGTTAATGTCCAATAAACAGTCTCCAGATCTGCCGCTGAGTAATCCTGTATGGAGCTGTAAAGCGCTCACACAGGCCTGTGACAGACGTCTCTGCTGCTCTACATCACTGTCGACTCGCTTTAAAGTCATAGAATGCATTGATACAATATTTTAAATTGTTCTCTGATATCTGCATAGAAGGTATGTGGCTTAAAGGGGTGGTTGATTGCGATTTCACTTTTTTAACGTTAGTTAGTGTGTAAGGTTGCTGTTTGATCATAAACAATATCTGCAAAGTTACGAAGCTGAAAGTTCAATGCAAACGGAGATATCGTCTTTTAAAATTCTGGCAGTTTAATGCCTACAAAAACGGCTGGTAAGGGACTACAACGAGTTGCTTCCCGGGTCCGATACATCAAGTACCCAGAATTTTACATAAACCCCGCCTCCGGGAACACGCAGCAAAGGGGGCGAGGCCACGCTCTGCGTCTCTCTCTCTCTCTCTCATTCAGATCATCAGCTCAGTGAATACACTTATTTTTACATAGCTATGAGAAG